GGGTGGAAAGACCCGGCGGGCGGCGGGCGGCGGGCGCCGAAGCGGGACCCAGCAGCTTCCGGCCGGGATCCAGGGAGCTTCCGGCCGGGATCCCGCTCCCAGTCTGCGCTGGCTCAACCCCCGCGCGGCAGGGCCCACGTGGCCCCGCCCCCGCCCCGGCAGCCAATCCTCGGCCGGGAGCTCGGAGCGGGCCAATCGGAGGCCGGGTCGGGGCTGTGCGCCCGCCTCCCATGCAAAGGAGTAATTAAAGAGAGGTTATTAAATACTAGAAATTAAATACAGAGGCACAGAGGGAAAGCACTTTTATTCCAGCAGGTTATCTATATTTAGTTTGGGTTTTTTTTGCTAAATAATAATAATAAAAAACGTAAATACACGTAGTAGTAACTGGTGATGAGTTCTCTAACACGGTGGGGGAAGTAACTAAACACCCACAGGCAGCGCTGGGGCTCCCAGAGCGGAGGAGGCGGGAGGGCAGGGCTGTCGGGTCCCAGGGCAGTGACGTCTTAGAGCTGGTTTTACAAGGACACGGTGGCTCAAAGGCTTCTACATTTGCTTAAGGTCACAGCTTGTGGCCCTGTTGGATTCAGAAACCAGAGGTCCTGATTCCCTGTCCACTGGCCTGAAGCCCTTCATCTTTCCTCCCAGGACCTTCTCATGGGAACTTGGGTTATGTTTACAAAAGTCCAAAATGAGTCAACAGCTGGGAGATGGGGGTTCATTTTTAGACATGCTCCCTATCTAGGGGAAACAGAGGGATTTTAAGGTTTTGTTTTCATTCATCACGTAATAGAGTAAATGAGTTCTTTCCCCAGTTATTATAGGGTGTGTGTCCCATACTCGGTTGAGAATTTGCCAGGGAACAGAAGCTCCCAGGCTACAGCCTGTCCATGCTCAGCTACACAAGCTAACAAGTAGGCCAGCCAGGATTTCCTACTCAGCAACCCGGAGTGGAATTAGTTACTCATGTAAGTGCTTAGGGTGATGGACAGGAGGACAAGAAATGGAAGAACATTCGGAAAGGGAGAATAGGGGCCCTACTGGGGCAGGGGTACCTTGCTAAGTAGAAAACTAAACCTACACGAAGGCCTGCTTTGGTGCACGTGTTTAGTCAGAGGCCTCGGTGGCTCTGCCCAGCACCTACGGCTCCAGCTTCCTTGGCACGGGCGCCCCGTCCGAGGCACAGCTGCACTTCTGCACCCTCATGTTGGGCAGGCTGACCACCTGGGGCCGGGGCCTGCCTCCCTCCTTGATGCTGACAATCATGGGCAGCGAGGTCGTCTCTGAGGCAATGCACTGCCGTGGCCCCAGAAATGGCCATTTGAAGGTGAGAGTCTCTGGGGGCTGCTGGCAGGTGCCCACACACTCATAGGCCAGGAAGCCCGGGGGCTCCAGGACCCAGTTCTCAGCCCACTTCATGCCCTGCAGGTCAATGTACATCTCTTGGCGGCAGCAGCGGGTGCCCTCGGTCACTGGCACCTCGGGGTCACAATTGCCCTGAGCTCTGTAGGGGCAAGGAGAGGCGGCATCAGAAGTCAGTTGGGAGGGCTAAGGTCAGGGGATCCAGGGCAGGGCCTCGTGGGGCATCTGGGAAGGAGACATATGATCTATCTCTTGTTAAAAAACTGTATATGTGTAATAAATGGTGAATGAATAAATATCCAAAACATAAATCAGCTACTGTTTATTAAAGTTCTCCTGATATGTCAGGCACTGAACTAGGCACTTCACATATGTTATCGCAGATGGTACCTGCATTTCTCCTGACATAAACCTTGATGGGGGTCCAGCATTATCCCTGTTACATGTGAGGACACGAGGACCCAAAGGTGTGAAGCGACATGCCAGAGGTCCTGCGGCCGATAGAAGGCAGAGCTACATGAAACCCAGGCTGTATGTTTCCAAAGGCCTGTTACCTGTCCCATGAAGAAAGAATCCATCGATGTCAAATGAAAGCTGTTCAGCTTAGTAACAGCTCATGCTAGTATTTTCCAAAGAATTAATCATGGAGAAAGGTAAAATGAAATTAGATGATTAGACTAAGATATATGTCAGTGACAACATAAAAACCCATTGAAAATATCAGAAGATATTTTTCTTTTAATCATCACTTGAGGATATTTTTCCCATTGCTTTTCAGAGAGAGTGGAAGGGAAAGAGACAGAAACATCGATGGGAGACAGACACATCTATAGGTTGCCTCCTGCACTCGCCGCAATCGGGGGATCCAGCCTGCAACCGAGTTACCTGCCTTTGACCGGAATCAAACCCGGGACCCTTCAGTCTGCAGGCTGACGCTCTAACCACTGAGCCAAACCGGCTAGGGCTGAAGATATTTTTCAATAAAATGTTTGAATAATAAAAATTTCTACCATTAGAAACTGACATGTGGTGGGGAATGGGTCGCATCCTGGGCTGTCTGCACGCACCCACACAGAGAACCCACTCCTGCCGGCTAGGACCTACCCGAAGTCCCTGAGGTCCAGGGTGTGCAGCTCCAGCTGGGGCTCACTCTGCCGGGTGTCCGACAGCCCCGGGGAGGCGAAGCGGACCAGCCTGTGGGCGCTGGAGGCCAGCGGGCCCAGGTGCTCCCTCTGCACCGACACCTGCAGCAGCAGTGGCTCCTGGGGCCGGCTCAGCTGCTGCCAGAAGTTCACGGCCTCGGTCACGTCGAAGGCCTTCCAGCCGCTCTCCTGGATGGACACCAGCCTGCGACACCAGGCGGAGACAGAGGCGCTAAGGGGTGGGGACTGGGGAAGCCTTCCAACCCCCTCCCTCCCCTCTCCCTGAGATAGACCTGCCCCCTCATCCCCTACAGCCCCCCCCTCCCTCCCAGTCTCCTCTACCATCCCCACACACACATCCTAGCCAGGGCCTCCCCACCTGGAGTCGATGAGCGAGGTGCGGTTGGAGCCGTCGTCACGGACATGCAGCCACTCGATGGTGACCCGGGCCCAGTCGCTGCGCGGGGAAAGCCGTTCGTGCCTGCGGAGCGCGGCCTTGGGGACCGGCTCCTGGAAGAGGCGCAGCACGGCCTGCACCAGCTCGCTGTTGGGGGGCAGCCGCTGCTCCATGCTGAACACCAGCAGGCGCCTGGAGGCCTCGGACACCAGGAACCTGCCGGCCACCTCTGGGGACAACAGGAGGGTCAGTGGGGTCTCTCCAGGCACCAGGAGAGCTCTGAGGGTGGCAGAGCCACTGAGGTGGTGGCCAGGTGGGGAGAGAACACTCCCCTGTTCTGTCTCCCCAGGCCAAGCATGTTTACGTAGAAACCCCCTAGGGTCTGTGGCCTTTTATCAGAATCCCCACCAGCAGGAAGGGGCAGCCCTGGGTCCCTGAGCCAACAGGGTCAGCTGAGACGGTGAAGATCAGAATCCTCACCTTGAGGCACTTGGGTCTGTCCCTGGGCACGGAGGAGGTGAGCCCCAAGCCCACAGAAGCGAGGGGCTGAGTAGAATTCAGGCCCCCTGCATCCCTGCCGGCTGAGTAACTCTGTGTTACACTAGTATCTGCCAGTTGCCCCAACACATTTTCACCCACAGTGACCCAGTTGAATGTTCGCAATACTGGCAGGTAGGGCAGACACAGAGAAGCAAACAGGTTCAGAGGTAAAGCATCTGCTCAAGGTCAGGCACTAGTGGGAGTGTGAAAATAGAACCCAAGAAGCCCGGCCTCTACCCAGGCCCCAGAGGCTCCATTCCCCATCACTCCACCCCCACCTCTGCTCCCATCGGCTATGCACCCTCTTCTCTACCCTCCTCTCCTCTGAGGCTTTGGCTTTGGCAGTGGGTCCAGCCTGGCAGGCTGGATGGGGACCTCAGTGCGGAGACCAGCACTCCTCACAGCCCATGGTCCTTCCTCACGGCCCTGTAACCCTGGGCCTCATTTATAACAATCTCCACCCAGCAGGAAGGGGCAGCTCTGGGACCCTGAGCTAGCAGGGTCAGCTGAGATGTTGAGGATCAGAATTGTCACCCTGGGGTACTTGGGTCTAGCTCTGGACACTGAGGAGGTGAGCTCCAGGCCCAGAGAGGGGCCCCAGACAGCCTTCCCAGACGGGCACATCCAGTCTTACCCCCCAATTCCCGAAGGTCCAGGGTGCAAGAGGGAGGGGTGGACGACCTCACCTCGGAAGTTCTGGCTGAACCTCTTCCCACGGGAGGGGGCCCCATGGCCACGCTTCAGCAGGGCCACATACTGGGCCCGCACGTGAGCAGGGGTGACCAGCTCCTCCACGTCACTCTTGTCCAGGACGGGCACCTCACTGAGGTGCAGCTGCTGCAGCAGGCTGCCCAGGATCTGCTCCTCAGTCATGGCTGCCCCGGGGCTGGGCAGGGGCAGTGCCCAGAGCACCCAGCAGAGCCACAGGGACCTCATGGTGCTAATCAGGAGGAGCAGAGCAGATGTGTCCCCTGAGGAGGGTCCAGGAGGGTCCCAGCTGGGTGTGCTGAGGGCCAGGCTGGGCCAGCTTTATAGCCAGCCCTGCACTGGGGATGGGTGGTGAGAGGGAGGAAGGGGGGGAGGGACGGAGGTCACACCCCTCACCCTCCTGGGAGCTCATCAGCCAGACAGGTCCATGAGCCCCGAGGAGGGGGCTGTCTAGAAAGGGCACAAAGGCTGTCTGGATACCACACAGGCTTGGGCCTCTGGCTGCTGCTGTCTGGCAGCTCAGTAATAATTTCAGTGCCTGTTGAATTGCCCTCGTCCTACCCCGGTCCTAGTCTGTGAAAAAGAGAGCCAGCCTGGGGCTAGGTGTGCTCACTGGGAAGGAAGCAGGGAAAGTGGGCCACATTCCTGCCTCTTCTGGGCCAGGCCCCATGAGGGGCATTTCACAGAAGCCCCTTGAGTCATCTCCTTCCATTCTTCAGTCCCGAAAGCTCCCCTCCTCTCCTCTCCACAGTCCCTCAGGGGACCTCATCCTGCCTTGTGATAGAAGGAAGCTAGATGCTGTTGGGACAGGAACCTGGCAGCTCGGCTCTTTGGAAGTGGGACCAAGATTCTAGGAGCGTCTTTGCAGTCACACTACCGCAGAGTGAGAGACCTCAGGCCCGCATCCTTCTGAGGAGAGCACTATTCAGTGAGCCTGGCCGCTGGCTCTCACCATTAGCACTCAGTTCTAGCCCATGAAAAGCCAAGACAGGGGTCAAGGGACAGGAACCTGGAAAGCAGAGGCCAGAGCTGCCCCGAGTCATGCACCGTCCAAAACCGCAGGTACTGGGCACGCTGGGGTGGATGGGAGCCCCCTGTGCCTCCTCAAACACACATTTTAGACGAGCTGGGTCAGATATGGCTGTTTGACCTGCCAGCAAGCTCCTTAACTCCTCAGTGCTCTGGTCTGCTCATCTGAAAGAGGGGTGATAGTGACCGCGTCTACTGCACAGGGCTAGCATGAAGATTAAATGAAGTCACACGTGTACGATGTTTAGCCCAGGGCCTGGTGCACAGTCAGCCCATATAAGGGTTTGCTGTAGTTATTATTGGCACAGTCATTACATTCTCCAGGTGTGGCTTTTTTAAACATGACGACAACCAGCCCAGCCCACTGTGTGCCAGGCACTGTTCTGAGCTCTGGGCGTATAGTCACAACAGCCCCAGGAGGCAGGTGTCAGCACCCGTCCCCAGTCTTGTTCCAGATGCAAAGTTGCAACACCTAACGGTGAAGAAGCCTGCCTGCACTCTCAGCAAGTGGAGGGATCCGGAGGTCATCTGTCCCCAGAGGTCCCTCCTGGCCTAGGGGTTTTGAGGATGTGCAGGAGGAAGTCCTTCCCCAAACTCGGGTTCGGTCGCATGGGAAGTGAGCAACGATGGTGAAGGAGGGCAAGGACTGCTGGTGAGGACCCAGGGGCCCAGTGGGCAGGGGTAGGTTGTTCAAAGGGAAGGAGACAGGGATCCTGTCCAATACGAACACAGGCCAAGGTGAGAGGAAATACAGAACTTTTGACAGCTGCACCCAAGAGGGGGATCTCCGGGGGGGTGACAGAATCCAGATCTCTGCTGCTCCCCTGCTCCCATTTCCTTTCCTCTCCCTCCTCTGTTTCCATGGAATCTGTGTAATTCACGAGAAGGAATTCAAATCCCATCGTGGGGCTCGTATCTCACAGGGTTTGACCGTCCCGGAACTATGAGGCGCCACCTCTGTGCTGGGCCCCAACAGGCCCTCCTGCTCTCTCTGTGACAAGTGTAGCCTTCTTCAAAAGGACAGTGTTGCTTTTCTCTGCAAGTGATGATTAACAGGGAAAGGACTTACTTGATGCAAACATTTGGGCCACAAGTCAGGCCAAAAGGTGCAGAAGTATCACATTTACAGGAGACCCAGGCCCTGTGGGCCTCAGTTCCTTGAAGATGTCCTGGGCTGGTGTTCCATAAATATGCAAAGTCCGCCACCCTCGGCCCTGGGTGAGAGGAAGCCCTGTGGCTTATCACTGGCCAGGGTGGTGCCAAGGATATAACACCCAGGCTGCCCTTGCATGCCAGGCCCCAACAGCTAGACCCTGGGGAGCTCCCTGGGGCTGAAGCCTTAGAAGCCCCGCACTGGCTTCACTGCTGTCACAAGGCTGAGGGGGGCCAGGCCCCTGGGGCTGCTGCTCTCTGACCAGCACATGCCTGCACGAGGCTCCCTCCCTCCAAGGAGATGCCTCAGGGCTGAGGACCCATGGGAGTCCCCGGTGGTCAGGAGCCCCTTCTGCACCTGGGGTAACTGACCAGTTATATTGAAACTTCATTTTCTAGAGCACAAAGTCAAGTGGAAGGTCTCTTCTCTGCTGGATTCTCTGTCCCTCACCCCACCCCCAGATGTCTCACAGGTGCTCCTGAGCTGGCATCCCAGCACAGAGCCCCCTCTAGAGCTGACTCCTCAATGGGACTGGAACTGCCCAGCCAACACCCAGTGTCGCTCTGGCCCCAAGTGCTCAGGAGCTCTGAAGGGCCACTGAGAGCCTGGGCAAGTGGTCCACCATTGGGAAACTGAGGACCCTTCTCCATCTTGGGGACCTCCCTTAAAGGGGAGAGCCTGGGAGCATTCGGCCCCCCAGAGGGTTTGCCCAGCAAGGTGTCACCTCCTTCTCGCTGTTACTTTGGAGAAGTAAATGATTCTACAGCAGTTTCTCCGATAACATTATTTCATTCGTTGCCATTTCATTGTAACATTGATGAGAGACAAGGCCACTGTCAGTGTGGAGTTTGCAGGATCCCCCCATGTCTGCGTGCGTTTTCTCCAGGGACTCTGGGTTCCTCCCACATCCCAAAGACGTGCACGGGAGGTGAGCCAGCGTGTCTGCATTGTCCCAGTCGGAGCGACTGTGCGTGTGAGTGTGAGTGGCCCTGCGATGGGTGGGTCCCCCCTGGTGCCCTGAACTGCTGGGAGAGCTCAGGCCTCCCGAGGCCCTGAATTGCAATCAGCTGGTTGGAAAATAATGATCTTACTTGCTTCTTAAATGAATGTATAGCTCACACGTATTTCAGTGTTTAATATTAGAAGTGTTTGGCGTCTTTATATAGAATTTTGGTGATGTGTGTGTTTTGTTTTGTTTTTTGACCAGAACTATAAGAACTTAACTCGTTTCAATCAATGAGCCCTTGGTAACACTGGTTTCCTTATGCGTCGTTTCCCCTGAGTCGTTTTCCTTAAAGTCACAGCTTTCAAGAATCTATCCGCGACTTTAAATGAGGACTTACTATACAAATGATCCTGACTCTTTATAGAATCAGAGCTGAAATGGACAATCCAGGCCGTTGTCCTTCCCCCAGTTCTTAGAGCTAAGAAAACCGAGGCTCCGAGAGGCGAGGCTGTCCCCATGCTCACACAGTTGATGGATGCCTGCATAAGGACATGTCTTGGGATTCCCAGCCCAAAGTTCTTTCCATACCCTTGAGCTATTTCCAGTGCACAGTCTTCTGGTCCCCCTGAAGCTGGTGGGAGGCAGCCATCAGCCCCAGAAGCTGGAGACCCAGTCACTCCAGGGTCGGGGCAGGACTGGAAGGGGAGGCGTGAGAAGCAGACAGGATAAAGCTCCAGATTCCTGCAGCTTCCTGGACACAGGCTCCCGGCCCTGAATGTGGATTCCAGGCGGCCTAAAGTTTGGCTCAGGGGAAATAAAATAATTGGGCAATTAGCTAGTGGCCAAAAGAAGACGAGGAGTGTGGATTGGGAGACTTTTTAGGAGGGACTGGGTCCTCAGGGGAAGGTAGCTGCCTTTTGTCAAGCAGAGGAGGAAACCAGGCCTCCCTCTGAGTGTGGGTCTGGGTGGAGAGTCTGGCCGGTCAGTTGTGGGTCAGGATGGGCTTGAAAAGCAGAAAAACCATAAAACAGCTTCCACCTATAGGGGTGGGGGAAGCTGTCCAAATCAGACCTCTTCCTCCCAAGGCTCTCTAAGATGGACGAAGCCCATACTGTTTACAAACCTATATTGTTAGAGATTTTAAAATGTATTTTTAATCTTCACCCAAGGATATTTTTTCCATTGCTTTTCAGAGAGAGTGGAGGGGAGAGCGAGAGAGAAAGGGAAAAAAAAACACAAAAAACATTGAACCAGCAACCTTGGCATGTGCCCTGACTGGGAATTGAACTGGGGACCTTTCAGTGCACAGGATGGTGCTCAGCTGCTGAGCCACACCGGCCAGGGCCAGGTACTGCATATTTTAAAAATTCTTGGGGCCTGGCCTGGCCCGGCGTGGCTCAGGAGTTGAGCATCAACCTAGGATGCAAAAGATCGGGGTTCGATTCCTGGTCAGGGCATATGCCCGGGTTGCGGGCTCGATGCCTGGGTTGCAGGCTTGATCCCCAGTCGGGGGTGGGGGGCGGGTATGCAGGGGGCAGCCGATCAATGATGACTCATCATTGATGCTTCTATCTCTCTCCCCCTCTCCCTTCCTCTCTCTGAAATCAATAAAGACATATTTAAAAACAAAAAAAAGAAAACCGCTGGTATATAGTAACATGTTCTCCTGTTTTCACCGGACAGCATGTCCTCCACCGCCTCTCTGGTCTTGGAGACACAGCCAGGAGCTGTCAGGGCCGGAGCTGAGCCCAGGTGCTCCTGAGCTCACATGACTCCCTTGTCCTTTCTTTGGGATCGCCCTATTCTGGATGGAAAATTCTCGAAGGCCCGGATCGAATCCTGTTTTCCAGGCGTAGGTACTGTGTTCATCAGCGTGGAGCCAGAGTTCCACGCTGTCCTGGGGAGAGCTTCAGCGGAGGGCGGTGGGACCGACCGGGAGGGTCATTACTCTGTTCCCTAATCTCCCATAAAGCCGGGAAGGATTTGCACATCCTGAGAGGCAATTGGAAAGGCGGGCTGAGTAAACAAAATACATAACAATGACCATGGAGTCATTGGAAAATCAGCAGGATTAGCTCTCTCCTGCTGGGACGGATCCTTTTTGAAGAAACTTAAGCATCTTATCAATAGCTCAGCGCTGCAGCTATCTTGGAAAGGAAACGAGCTTTTGCCAGCAGCTCCGGGGAGAAGCTACCGGCATGTTTTACCCC